GAACGGCCTTGGGAAATTACACGACCTCAATGAATATTACCGAGAAAACAATATATATACGAAGCGTATCGGTTATCGACGCGGAAAATGGTATCAGCGTGCCGAGTTCAAATGCCGGCTGATTTCGTTCCATTCTCTTTCGCACAGGAAAGGTATGTTCTCCTCGGTTACGCTTGGGAACCAGTCTAGAAGGAGGAGCACTCTGAATTTAGAATAACTTGAGCGTGGAACTATCAAACACTACTCCCTAAAAGCCTACAGAAGCAGCAGAGAAAGAGCCTTATGGACGGGAGTAACTGCATTGTACACACTGAAAGTAAATAAGTAATATCCAGCATCTTCACCTATGTGTAGAAAAACTACATCAGGAAGGTTCCTTAAATTTTTGGCCTATTCTTGTTGAGTTGCTATTCTTGTTTCAGCAGAACTCATTTACTGTCAGCCAAGTCTGGCCCAAGGATATTACGAGGGTCAACTGAAAAAATTCATACACTGACCAAGAATGTGACTAAATGAGGTTTATTTTTCAACATAGTATCCCTTACGGTCGCCATTTTTCTTCCATTACTGTTGTAGTGCTTGGATCCCATTGGTGAAGAAGCTTTCATCTTGTTAGTTAAAAAATCAACTGAAGATATGACGTCTTCATCACTAGGATACTGGTTCCCAGCCAAGTGTTTTTTTGCTTTTTTTTTTTGTTTTTTTTTTTTTGTTTTTTTTTTTTTTCATATTAGGGAACAGATGATAGCCAGATGGAGTCAAATCAGGAGAATAGGGTGAGTGATCAATCAGTTCAAAGCCAGGGACTTGTATGCTAGAGCACTGTCCTGATGAATCAAGACCCCTTTCTTCCGTTTTTCTGGATGTTTGGTCTTGATAACCTATTAAAACTGCCTATCATAACTGCATTTTGAAGAGTCAATAAACACAATACTTTTTATATCCCAAAAGCATACGGTCACAATTCATAAGGAAATAAAAAATTCAGTTATTAATAAGAATAGTTGAAATTAATGAGAGCAAGATTTCACATTTCTTCATAGTCAGCATATAAACCTTTCAGCCTACAAGCGTACTATGTGAAACCCGATAATGATTGAACTCAAGCAAATAACCTAATTAACATTGCTTGTTCATTATATATATATATATATATATATATATGTGTGTGTGTGTGTGTGTGTGTGTGTGTTTATAAACAGAGTGTTCACGCAAATATAAGTATCCATTTAAAGCATAAGGTTTAAACAAATTACTCACTAACTTTTGTCTTATCAGACTTCGAATTATGGCATTTTGTGTCCTTCACATATTTTAACTGACCTTTCAACTACCTGATGAATATTCATAAACGCTCTCAAATTTAAAAAACCTGGATAAACCTATAACATCCTTGCTTTTGTATATAAACACGTGCAACAAAATGAATCCTAAATTTGCCGTAATAAAGTCCCTCAGAGTACGAAAAAAACGAAATAATTGTTCCCCTTTTTTTTCATTCATTTATATATATATATATATATATATATATATATATATATATATGTATGTATGCATATATATATATATATTATGAAATCGACAAAGTCCGACAATTATTTAAAGACATTTTTTATATTTAACATTCTTTTTATAGATACAAGTATTTAAGTAAATGCTCTGTTTTTATAATAAACAGTTTATGTGTGCGCACGCGCATGTGTACGTCTGTGTTTGTGGTGTATATGTGTGTGTGATGCTCTTTCTGGGTGACTGGAATTAAGAAGATAGTCGGCAACCAGAAGAAATCTGCCCCTGCGTCGGAGATATCCTGTTGTTTACGCTACTACATTCCAGAGCAATAAAAAAAAAGATGTTTCTTTTCTAGTTCTTCTGTAGTCCTGAACAGTGCCACCAAATGGTCGTCTTAGAAAACAAAGTAGCGGTAATCCACTCATAGTTTTAATAACTATATCTGGTGTATTAGCTCTTATATATCTGCCATTAGGGATCTTTAAGTACCAGTGTAATGGCCTCATATATGATTGGTCTAGGGCGATGTTCATCCTATTTTCTGCAGATGGTATCAGATGATATTTAAATATCTGCAGGTGGTAGCCTATAATATTGTAATATCTTCTAGAAAATATACCTCCCAATCTTGTGACCCTGATCCTTGTATTAATTCGGTGTCAAGATTAGAAAACCCAGACACTAATTGGTCAACACGTTATTCACATAACTTACATATTGGGTCTGGTTTTAATCATGTTTACCTGATAATTTTTAGTGAATAGATATTGGTCAAGCGCAGCCATTATAAATGTCTTCGTATTACTATACTATTTACATTATTCGGACTATTGTCCTCATCTTTGTCGCCATATTTATTACAATGTTTCAGCCGTTGTACGCTCCGGCCTTCTCCAGGTGGTTGGAATGTCGAACTGAACCCTTTATTTCGCTCACTGGGGTAGACTGTCTAATGGATGTCAGATATCTCCTGTTAATTCCCCTCTGCAAGTTCTCCACCGCCTTAACCAGGTATTGAACTTACAATCTTTGGGTTCTGTCACTGTATCTAACTAACGCCTTTATCCACTGTGCCATGTTTCCTTTGTATTAGTCGTGTCATCGAAAGGTCAGAATTAGTGTTCTGATCATGATTGATTAGTCAATGAAGTGTTTCCTTGATAATATCGTACTCTTTGTGGCGATCCCAGCGTGTGGCAGCGTCAGGAAATGCCTGAAAACTATGTCTCGAGCTTACCTTTGTCTTGAAAATAATTAATAACTATGATAGGACAGATACAAGATCATGTAAGGGAAATTGCGTAAATGAAATTGATTGGAAACAGTCATGGTTTCGCTCATACGCTAACAGGATGCTTCCTTGATTACTAAAATCTTAATCTGTTCACGTTAACTATTACCTTCCCCACATATCTCCATAAACTGTGCCTCTTACCGCTTATTCTGTAAACATCTACTTTGAGTAATTCTTGAGCCTTGTACATTGTGAGCATTTTTTTTTGTTTGGAAAAAACAGTTTTTTTCTAATCGTTTTAATTATGAATCGTAAACTCCCAAATAATATTGACCTCATGGCTTTCTATGACTGGTTAAAGATGATGTTATATTTTTTCTTCCAGTGAATCTCTTACCCAGTCTTATCATTTCTTCCTTCAGGGCGACGATTGTAACATCAGATACTAATTCGTCAACTGATACAAGCTTTTGTCCAGATAATCTAAATATTGCGTTTGCACCATTCTTTATTGTTCACCTATTAACTACTTGTGAACGTTTTGCTCCTCTGCAGCCATTACAAATGCCTCTATCTCTTCTTTTAGCTCTTGGCGGGTTTTGTACTTATCTACATCTGCATTCTCATTTCATACTGGCTGCTTAGTGTGTTTTTTTTAATTGTTTAACGCTTGAGTTGTTCCATCAGTTTTTTACGATTTTAGCTGCATTTATTGGTCGAGTAATTTGGACTTTTTTCGACACTGTAAATATTTATGGTGATTTTTTAAGCGTAGATGTGGCACAAGGATTAAAGTATGGGGCAACCAATGAGGATCGAACTCACTACTCAGTCATAATTGTTCTAGTGAAACAAACTTGTTTACCATTACACCGCCTCGAGATGCCCAAGCTGTGAATATTTATCATTGTTTTTGTTGTTTTATTATTTTTGTATATCATTACCTTATAAGGAATAAGTTAATGATTTCACATTAATTAATTATAAGGTATTTCTTGTTATTTAAACGTTATACTTTAGTGGATGCACGTGTTTCAGTAGACGCCAATTTTTAAGTGCGAATTACGTCTAAGGGACAGTATTCTAGTGAATTAAAGCGTTGCTTCTTCAATTTGCTGACATAGTAATTGTGAGTTCAATCCTTGGGTTGGGCAGTGCATACTTGGATTCAGTGGAAATAGGTGAGCAATACTGAGAGGTACTAAAAATAAAAAAAAAACTATCGGCGATATCTCTAGACGAGAAATGAAACGAGAACAGTGTAGCCCCGTAGTTTAAATAATGAGCTCATTTCAGAATTCTCAGGCCGATATACACTTTATGAAGGTCGGAGGGCACAACGGCCGAAACGTCGTGATAACAACAATGAATAGTCCGAATATAAATAGTGTAAATAATCATTACTCCTCATGCAATAAATTCAGAAAGAAATTAATGTCTTATTTTTAATTTCTCATTATTTCTCATCATTGTATATTTTAATGGACACTCGTGTTTTAGTAGACACCCTGTTTTTTGTCTTTGTTTGTGCTTTTAAATAAAGTGTAAATAGGGATTTTCTTTTCCTAAATACTGGAAATATTTTCCTCACTGTATTAGTATTGTTGAATTTATCGCTAACATTTTTTGTCTAGATTTAAAAAAAAAATTTACGTTACGTTCAATTTCGAAAACCAATCGATGAAATTTGTATAAATTGATTTGTTTGAAAAAAATGGTGGACTCTCCTACCCTGAACGATAAATGAGGGTTAGTTGTGGATAGTGGCTTTTGTTTTACACTTATGCATACTAGCAGGGGCTATTGTGGAGAAAATCGGGCAAGGGAAAGACATATTTTATTTGTGCTTTCTTAAGTGTGATACTAATCCATACTGACAGATGAAATTTGTTAAAGCCAGATTATCATATGCGTCTCTGCTTCAGAGCTTGACAAAGCTGATCTCGCTGCTTCCCTCTATTGTCTTCAAAACCGTTTAACATAATGAAACATGTCTTACGCCACTTATTTCAGTTTGATGCTTAGGCTTCCCAGGTTTCTTCAAAATCCCTTTGGCTATTCTAAAGGGTTTGACGGACGGACTAACAGAAGTCACAGAAATTTATATATAGAAGGTATATATATAGTTATCTTTTCAATCAAAAATAACATAATACTTCATAAATTTGATATTTTTTTCTCTTTTTTATATCTTTCAGGGATGTCGTAAAGTGAAGCATAGGTCAGAAGCCAAAATGTTGAACCTTTGACGGTCATGCAAACCATGACGTCAGCGACGCCGAGCCATCACGAGGCGCTGTTCAACCGAACAGTGAACCGGTCCATCCACTTCAGCATCAACGATGCTGCGACCATCGTCGAGCAGGAAGCGGAATCGAAATGGTTCTCACCAGCGGCCGAGATCATCCTGATCTTCTGCTATTCAGTTCTCATATGTTTCGGGTCGATAGGCAACGCCTTGGTTTGCTACATCGTAGTGCGAAGCCCCGGCATGCGCACTGCACGAAACATGTTCATCTTAAACTTGGCCGTATCGGACTTAAGCTTGTGCTTATTCACACAGTCGATTAACTTATACCGGACACTGAACAACCAATGGAAACTCGGCGCCTTCATGTGCAAATTTGGCTCGTTGTTTCAAGGAATCAATATTTTTGTGTCCACCAGCAGCATTATGGCCATTGCCCTTTATCGCTTCCAAGTGATCGTCCACCCAACGATGTCTGGAGTACAGTGGCGAATAAGAATCACCGTAGCACTTGTGATGATCTGGGCGGTGTCGTTTCTGTTAGCCAGTCCGTTGCTAGTGTTCACCGTCCACCAAGCGTCTCAGCCTATTGAGTTTGTGGACATTTACCTCTACCATTGTATCGAGGAAATGTCGCTCAAATCAGAAAAGATAGCTTATTCAATTGCTTCGCTGATATTTCAATATCTCGGACCAGTCATTATTGTTGTACTCGCACACACGAAAATTTTCAACAAGCTCAATTATCGGATTGTAAACCGAAGCCAAATGGCACCCGGACTGCACAATTCATACAGTTATAAATCTCAGGAACGTAAAGCAAAACGTAAGAGGAAAACAAAGATTCTATTGACAACCATCGCTGTTGTCTTTGCCTTGAGTTGGTTACCGCTGAATATCTTTAACATCGTAATCGAGTTCAAAGGATCGGCTTTTTTACACAAAAAAATCGACGTCAATCTGACGTTTGCCATATGCCATTTACTTGTGCTCAGTTCAGCCTGCACAAATCCCGTGCTGTACGGGTGGCTGAACGAGAACTTCCGGCGGGAATTTTTCAACATCCTGTCTTGTTGTATTTGTACGTCGAACTTTCAGGAAAGCTTGCGTTCATTCCGTGCCACTTCACGAGTGGACGACGATCATGAGATCGCGGTCTATCAGGAATCTGCTTATCCTGTCGGGGAATCTTCTCGTAAGGGGGAATATCAACAGTCCTCACCGCTTGATTCAGAACCCCAGCAAAACTGTCGGGGTTCGGCATCTGTGTGAGAATTTTCTCCTTATTACATACATACATATATATATATACACACGCACACACACACAAAAATATATATATATATATATATATATATATATATATATATATAATTTGTTTACTTAATCTTGTTTGATATCTAAACGTTCTTTTTTCTCTTCTTCGTGTGACATGGTAAAATAATGCAATTAATAAGAGTCGGAAATGAAAGATAAATGTTCCCTTGAAAGGTTAAATATTGAAGTGATGTTAACAAAAAGTATAAATTCCACAAAATATGAATATTTGGAATTGTATGATCAAGAGTAACAACAACAGTAGTAACAATATTTATCCTAATTGTAAATATTGGGTTGTCAGAAAAGTTCGTTCGGTTTATTAAATAGCTTTTCTACTTAATAAGCGAACGAACTTTTTGTCCAACCCAAAACAAATACATTATTTTTGAAAATACCACGGGTTACATTATGCCAAAATATTTTCACCATCTCCATTTTCCCGTGTAAACTATTTACAAAACAATTTTTACATACTGTGTATTTTGACATTAAATGCTTAATTTAATTAGATATTACAACATTGGTTCACTCATAAAATATGTTTTCTTACTATATATATATATATATATATATATATATATATATATATATATGTAAATCGTTTTTATAGTTGGCTCATATAAACCTATATTTATAACTAGTGTTTAATATAAAACAGACATTTGTTTAGGTTGTTTTTTGTTGTTGTTTTTCTCTCCGAAAGTAAAGTTCGAATTAATTTTGCTGAAAATTAATATTAATTATAAGATATCGGTGTCTATCCGGAATCTACTTTTCTTGACGAAGAATCATCTTATAATTGGGAATATCAACAGTCCTAACTTCTTGATTCAGAACCCCAGCAAAACTGTCGGAGCTCAGTATCTGTGTGAGAATTTTCTCCTTACTACACTGGATTTTCCGACGTTAAAAGCTTAAATATGTGGCCTCTTTGTTGTGGAGTTGGTTTGAATAATCATTGGTGTGTGGCGCGTTCGACGCCGCGTACTGGCTGAACAATCTTTTCGAACCAATATATGGTTTCAAGCATTTCCAAGAATGGATGCTGTAGATGGCCAGGAAATATGCCTGACTCCAGTCCCTTGAAGAATCTTATGGCCATGATAAAGGACTGCGTTGAAAATCCGCTCTGGAAGTTGCTAGACAGCTGTGACGTTTTCAATCACATTTGTATCAGATTATTGACATAATTTTGAAGGAACAATAACGTTTAGAAACTCGCTTGGATATCTATAACGTTTTTGATCAGTTAGAAAATGTTAATAATACATCCATTTTGTGATGCTCGGTAAACAAATGTCGGTTTTATTAAGGAACACTCTTCAACTAAAATTAATTTCTGTCGACTTACTTAAACGCTAAGTAGTTACCAATTCTCTCTTTAATTTCCCATTTACTTAAATGATTTAGTTTTTTTTTAAATATCACATGTGTTAACTATTTTTATGGTTTATATGAAAAATATTACTTTCATTCAAACAATAAAAGCATTGTTTATCTTTCCTTTTAAATAATAAACATCTTTAAACAATTAAAACATGTAAATTAACATTTCCACTTATTCTCAAAAATCATTGTTTTTTATTATTATTATTATTATTCTGAAATCACAAGACATTAAAGCATTATACTGTTCTGCCCAAATCTGGAAAAGGGAAGTAAGTGAATTTTTTTTTAATTACTTCATTTTTAACATCAAAGAAGGAAATGCTATCATTTTGTGTAAAATTATTCCTTTAAGTTCAAGTCGATTTTCATTTTATTTTTTAAGGGAATTACGTGACACTGAATGGCTCAAACTTCAAAAACTTTAACTTGAGTTTAAGAATGAGTGAATTTGCAAAAAATAAAAAGTACACTTACTTCCCTTGTCCATAAAAGTTCAGTATAGATAGAAATATCATAATAACTTTTAAATGTATTTATTTTTAGATGTATTTTATTCACTTAAAATCAGGTGTTTTAAAAAAATTCTAAATATTAAAAATTACATCACATTTTATCTGATTTATTTTGTAGTCATTGCTTTCTTTTTACACAAATAGTACCTGTTGGTTTTCAGTTGTGATCAAAAGACAGAAACTTTCCTCAGCTCTACTTAAATAAAATGGTACACCAGTAAATAATAGGGAAATTTCTTTGTAGAAATATTTTTTATAGATTAGCATACCATACTCGTTCCTTTGGCCGCGACATTTGTCACAATCGAAAACATTACTTTTAGAACGTTTTAAAATCAGTATGCTGTTCATAATATCGATACTGTGCAAAACTGATCCCTGACTTGCACAGAGTTATAGGAAAATTGCAGTTTGCTTACAAATGTCAATTTTGAAAGTGCACTTACATCATTAATAGCTGCGTGCAAAAACAAACTCTTGTTTTGTTTTTTTGGGTTTTTTTTTTTACAAAAGAAGATTTTGTTTTAATAATGAATATATATATATATATATATATATATATATATATATATTAAGACAGTTTATGTTTATACATTCTTTTTATAGATACAAATATTTAAGTAAATGTCTTAAAATAATTGTCGGACTTTGTCCATTTTATAATATATATATATATATATATATATATATATATATATATTGATGGGGGGGTGGAGATTTTTCTGATTAAGTGGTCATCTTTAAATTAGTGCCACATTTATATTTAAAGAACAAAAATTTACATAAATTCAGAAAAGTACGAAAATACGTAGGTACCAATGACGTAAACACATTTTCAAGGTACCACATTTTTGCTGCTTATAAGACTTTTATTTTCTATAAAATATCTCCAAAAGCCACCCTGCGTCAAATAAATCTAAGATCGATGGCAGGAGCTATAATTTTGGGGTATTGGGTTAGCCTCACATTTACATCCGATTCTGAGCCCTTGAAAGGAAAGCAAGTCCAGTATTTCAAAATTAAATTAACAACGTTTTAAAAGAAGCTATTTATGCATTTGAGATAAACTTGCCCAGATTATCCGTAATACGGATTTCAAGCTATAATACCGGTATAAGGATTCAACAGTGAGTTAAGCACTAGCGTATATTTTAACCTATGAGTGTGTTGCCGGGTGGTTAGAATGTTCGCTTTCTGATCATGAGCCCCTGGGTTCGAATCTTACCATTGTCGAATTGTCAGGAAGGAGACCTCCTGATTTTATCGGTCTGGAAATCATACCGCGGCAGCTTTGCGGCTATGAGTGAAATCGGATCACTTGGATCTGTCGGCTGTTTTAGCACGAAGTGTCAAGTCTGGTACAGATAACACGCTCTCTCCCAGAAACTGTAACTAAGGTCTTCTCAGCATAACTGCAATATAGTACAGTATATGTGGGTGTTGAACAAACACAAAGGAGAGAGTCTGCAATAGGGATTGGTTAGACACCCTAGTAAACGGATATCCTCGAATACGAGTTAGCCAGCTATTATATTTTAACCTACACATTAATCAATCTTAACCTTATTTCTGCATGCAAATTTACATTCATCTAATTTCAAATTAGGGCTCCATTTTGACTTGTGATGAATTCGACACGATTCTAAGGATTTCATGCTGCATTAAAGTGTGACCTTTCCGTGGTATTTTGCACTCTAACCTCTCTTTACGTTCTATATAGTCACCATAAATTCGGTACTTCTCGGTCTGTGAGGAATTTGTCATGATTAATGCTGAAATATGCTATTCAATGGACAAAACTAGGAATAGTGGAGAGGGCTCTGAAATACAATGAAAAGTTTATTTTTCCCTGATTTTAGCCTTCAAAATAGGGGCCTCTTACAAGCAGAGAAATACGGTATTTGTAAAATTACTTTAAAAAATGTAAGGAATCGACAGGACACCCATTGATAAAAATTCAGAATTTCTCGATTCTGACAAATGTCCCGGCTGGAAAAAAATATCTAACTAATGGTAATCTGCAAAAACTCTTCCCCCAGAAAAATATTCCCCGAAAAAAGATTTTCCTATTTTTTTTTTTTTTCGAGAGGACCAGTTCATATTAATTGTTCTCTTTCTCAATTTCCTTTCACTTCCTTTAGTATTTGACTTGATTTTACTAATGCTGTCGTTTAAATATTTTAATTTTTAATATATTTAAATATTTTAAATATATCTAAATATTTTAGATTGATCTATAAATATTTTATATTTTTAATATATTTAAATATTTTAGATTCATCCCCAGACTTTTAATTCTTTCCTGATTGTTTCAAGGCTCTTCGGAACGGTTCCAGATGCACCAATATTATATATTTACTATTGCCTACTCTAGTATACTACTAAAATCTTTCGAAAGCAATTCGCTTTTGTCAATGTTTAACGGAGTTTATTTTTTAATTCTTTAACATTATAAAAAAAGATGTTCAAATACAATGAATTTCGGACTATCATACTAATCTTTAATGAGGCAGCGACTAAATCCATGTCATACATTGAGGCAGAATTCTAAGATTTTTCTTTTCACGTTAACAAAATACATGTCGTTAAGGAGGAAGCAGATATTTTAAAGCCATGCTATAAGTCATCTTCTGGGTACAAGAATCAACATCATTTTAAACGAGCTAGTTGAAACATTCATCTATCACGCCATCCATCACGGTCCCACATCAAGGTCATTAGAGTAGCATCCTGGGTCCCTACAGAGTTGGTCAATTGTTAGGTGTCCAGAACAGTAGATCACTTGCAAGTTCTTGTTCTGTTCGCCAGATGTGTCCTTTCTTCGTTCGCGTTATAGTGTAGAATTATCTGGGAATGATCCATAGAGCTGGGATTTAGTAGGATGTTAAGTAAAGCTCTCAGCATCCGAGTGTAGTTTCTATCAAGCTCATGGTTTTAGTTTATGTCCAATAAACCGACGCTACAGTGGCGCGAAAGAAGCTCCGTTTGAGGATGCCTGGTAGATCAGATTTTCAAATTGCATCAGTTTTATTCAGGGCGGCACCATTAGCT